GGAAAGGGGAAGTTGCCAGTGCAGAATGCAATCTCTGTGAGCTTTGAACCTCTGGCAAAATGTCGGGGAGAACTGCTGGGATCATCTCTTGAAATGCTGTTTTCCCCTACGAGCAGTAGATTCATCTCATCAAACCCCAAAATTTGTGTGGACTTAGAGCGTGTGTAGTCAGACCATCTTGTATAAAGAAAAGAATCATGACTGACATCATGGCTTGATCTTACATTCCATGAGCTTTCTGATCAGTAGCAGCCATTTTTTCCAAAGAGTGCTGTATTGTATTTGAAGAGCAAACACCTTCAGCAAAAGAATGTAAATAAACTCACCACATCATAAGTGAACATGCAGCTCTTTCATCTAGAAGACTGAAGATTGAGGTCTTCTTTTAAATTAGGCTGAGAAAAAAAAAAACAAAAACACTCTGGTGAGGCTGCACTTCAAGTACTGTGTCCAGTTTTGGGCCCCTCACTGCAAGAAAGACATTGAGGCCCTGGAGCGGGTTCAAAGAAGGGCAACAAAGCTGGTGAGGGGTCTGGGGCACAGGGCTTATGGGGAGCGGCTGAAGGAGCTGGGAATGTTCAGCCTGGAGAAGAGGAGGCTCAGGGGAGACCTCATTGCTCTCTGTAACTACCTGAAGGGAGATTGCAGTGAGCTGGGGTCGGCCTCTTCTCCTGTGTAACTGGTGATAAGAGTAGAAGGAATGGCTTCAAGCTGCACCAGCTGATTCAGGCTGGATGTTAGGAAATACTACTTCTCTGAAAGAGTGGTCAGGCAGTGGAATGGGCTGCCCAGGGAGGTGGTGGAGTCACCGACCCTGGAGGTGTTCAAGGAAAGTTTGGATTTTGTCTTGAGGGACATGGTGTAGTGAGAACTATTGGTGATGGGTGGATGGTTGGACAGGGTGATCTTGTAGGTCTTTCCCAACCTTGGTGTTTCTGTGATTTCAGTGATTCTATCAAATCGAGAGCTTGTGGGTTAAAATCAAGGATCGGTCAGTAAAGGGCATCTGGTGGTTGGGGTCTGCTACAGGCCACCTGATCAGGGGGAGCCTGTTGAGGAGGCCTTCTTGCTTCAGTTGCAGGAGGTGTTGTGCTCTTGTCCTGATGGAGGATTTCAACCACCTGCTGGGTTATCTGCTGGGATAGCAGCAAGGTGGGTGGTAGACATTATAGGAGATTCCTGGAGTCTGTCGATGAGATGGATGTGATCTACCTGGACTTCTGCAAAGCCTTTGACATGGTCCCTCACCACATCCTTCTCTCTAAATTGGAGAGGCATGAATTTGGAGGATGGACTGTTTGATGGATTAGGAATTAGCTGTCTGGACGCAGCCAAAGGGTTGTGATCAATGGTTCTGTGTCAGGGTAGAGGCCGGTCACAAGTGGTGTCCCTCAGGGGTTGGTCTAGGGACTGGTGCTCTTCAACATCTTCATCAGTGACATAGACGATGGCATGGAGTGCACACTCAGCAAGTTTGTGGATGACACCAAGCTGAGCGGTGCAGTCGATGCACTGAAAGGAAGGGAAGCCATCCAGAGGGACCTGGACAGGCTGGAGAAGTGGGCCCATGAAAACCTAATGAGGTTCAACAAGAAACTTGGCCTTCCAAGTGCAAGGTGTTGCACCTGGGCTGGGGCAGTGAAAGGTATTTATACAAACTGGGGAAGATCTCCTTGAGAGCAGCCTGCAGAGAAGGACTTGGGGATACTCATGGAAGACAAGCTGGACATGAGACAGCAATGTGTGCTTGCAGTCCTGAAGGCCAACTGTGTTCTGGGCTGCATTAAGAAAGGGGTGGCCAGCAGGGAGAGAGAGGTGATTGTCCCCCTCTACTCTGCTCTTGTGAGGCCCCATCTGCAGAACTGTATCCAGGCCTGGGGCCCCCAGTACAGGAAGGATGTGGAGCTCTTGGAGTGTGTCCAGAGGAAGGCCACCAAGATGATCAGAGGGCTGGAGCACCTCTCCTATGAGGAAAGGTTGAGGGAACCGGGCTTGTTTAGCATGGAAAAGAGAAGGCTCGGGGGAGACCTCAGTGTGGCCTTCCAGTACTTGAAGGGAGCTTATAAACAAGAGGGGGAATGGCTTTTTACAAGGGTGGGTAGTGATAGGACAAGGGGAAATGGTCTTAAACTGACGGGGAGGTTTAGGTTAGATATTAGGAGGAAGTTTTTCACACAGAGGGTGGTGACACACTGGAACACGTTGCCCAAGGAGGCTGTGGATGCCCCATGCCTGGAGGCATTCAAGGCCAGGCTGGATGTGGCTCTGGGCAGCCTGGTCTGATGGTTGGTGACCCTGCACACAGCAGCGAGATTGAAACTGGATGATCATTGTGGTCCTTTTCAACCCAGGCCATTCTATGACTCTGTGAATACACTGTTTAAGTGTATAGCATTGATACTGAAAAAAGAAATATCAATGGGCTGAAAAATTAGTGGTCTTCACAGTGACTGTATCCGTAAGTTTCCTAAGCATTTCAGTGTTCTACTTTATTCCTTGGAGATCCAACTTCAACAAAATATAATCATTCTATTCTATTTATTGGTGCTGTTTGTTTGATATATTTTCACTAACTGTAAGACTTTGCCATAAGTAGCTGTAGCTTCCTCACCCATCCTATTATTTTTGTCTGTGGCTGAGGGTTTCTGCACTGGTCCTGCAGGGAGCAAATCTGTCACTGCCATCTAGTGTTCTTGCAGAAGGTTTCTGGAGACTATACCAAAATAAAAACTGAACACTAACATTGATTTTCTTTGTCAGTTTCCCAGCTAGTAGCAAATCTTACGTAATTACAGAACCTCTTACAGTGTTTGTTACCTTTCCAGTGTATCATTCAGTTTTGTGGACAGCTGCCTTGTTTCTCACTTTGGAAAGTTTAGAGTTCTTTTCTTATTTTGTCTTTTCTAAGAGACGTTGTGTAAGTCCTGCTTCTTTGGGATCGTGCAGTCAGCACAGAAACCGGTACTGAGGAGCATGCAGCAGATTCTTGTGGTCCCTTCCAGGACCTGGAATGCCAGGAACTGACAAGCTGGTATTTCTCTCAGCTGGGGTAGAGCTGACCGCAGAGCCACGTGTCTCTCACCAGGGACACAGACACATGAGCTGGAGCCATGTTGGACCTGTGCCGAAGGCTGCTTCCAGGCAGCCAAGCAGTAAACAGGAATGTGAATGTTTGGGCTGGGGAGCAGCTGGGTATGATCATGCTGAAGACTCTAAAAGGCCCAGCTTCCCATGCAGTACCTGTTCCTCTGCCAAATGTTCAGAAATTTGCATAGTTACGTGAATTAATTGGCGCTCATGGAAGCTTCTTTACTATTTTGACTATAGAAAATATTTTGCTGATCTTTGTACTAAAAATAATGAAAACTAACGTTAAATGTCCAGGCCCTTACATCCCTGAAGAGAGATTAAATGTAACTGCATTCCAGTGTCAAGCACTACTCAGGCAAGTGTCTATCAACAATTACACTGATATAGAAATGAATGGTTTTCTGTTTATTAGATATAGAGAATCATGCTGACATTTTTCTAGCAGTTTTATCAATATAATATTGTGGAACAGGATTCTGATTTCATAAGTTTTCCTATTTGTAGTTTTCCCTTGCATGTCTTTTAAGCATTTTAAGGTCTGACATTCACTTTACCATTTTACAGTCAGAATAGGCCACAATAGATGATAGGCAACATCATCTGACCATCCGCATCATGTGAATTACAGAATCAAACTCACCTAGCCTGTTCCTGTGTAAACCTGGCCATTTGTGCGGGTTCAATGGGCTTTGCTTGGGAGGCTGACGTACAGAGGTGGGGGGCTGGTTTTAAAGACAAAAAATACAACAAGATTGTTAGTTTAAATTAGTTATTAATATTCAAATTAGTATGGAATTGAATTTCATAGTATTTTTTAATCATTTATGATACTTACTGTAACAATAAGAGCTAATTACAACTTCATTCTTATTCTGGAAATTTATCATAGTATCATAGAATCACAGAATGGTTTGGGTTGAAGGGACCTTTAAGATCCAATCCCCATGCTGTACACAGACACCTCCCTATAGACCAGTTTGCTCAAAGCTCCATCCAGCCTGGCTTTATGCTTCCAGGATATCCGTAACCATTTTGGGCAACCTGTTCCAGTGTCTCACCACTCTAACAGTAAAGAATTTCTTCCTAGTATCTAGTCTAAATTTAGCCTCTTGCAATTTAAAGCCATTTCCTCCCATCCTGCCACTGCCTGCCCTTACAAAAAGTCCCTCCCCAGCTTTCCTATAGGCCCCCTTCAGGTACTGGAAGGCTGCTATAAGGCCTTCCCCCAGGAGCCTTCCCTTCTCCAGGCTGAAGGGCCCCAAATCTCAGCCTATCCTCATATGGGAGGTGCTCCAGTCCTCTGATCATCTTCGTGGCCCTCCTCTGGACATGCTCCCACAGTTCCATGTCCTTCTTGTGTTGGGGTCTCCAGAACTGGACACAGTACTCCAGGTGGGGTCACACGAGAGCAGAGCAGAGGGGCAGAATCACCTCCCTCAACCTGCTGGTCACGCTTTTCTTGGTGCAACCCAGGATACAGTTGGCCTTCTGGGCTGCAAGCACACATTGCTGTCCCATGTTGAATCTTTCATCAACTGACACTCCCAAATCCTTCTCCTCAGAGCTGCTCTCATGTCATTCTCTGCCAAACCTGTACCTGTGCTGGTGATTGCCCTTACCCAGCATTTGGCCTTGTTGAACTTCATGAGGTTGGCTTGGGGTTGGTGATTATTTTGTATTTTCCCTCTTCCTGTCTTTTCTATAAAATCAGTTATGTCAAAACAAAAAAAAACCAAAAACCAAAACTTTAGTAAAAACTCCTCAAGATAAGAATGTACTAGAATTTTACTTGAGGTGAAAAAATTGATGAATAAAATGCACAGTATAGCTTTCTCAGTTTTTCAGTCCATAGCTCTGTCTTGCTTTTATGACATGCAGTGAAGGATATCTTAACTGAAACAATTCCACAGTGTCACTTCATTCCTCCAGTTTATTTAAAACTACTTTCTTAAACTGAGAAATAGTCACAGTCCCATTTCATTTTCAGTGATTGAAAACAAAACAAAACAAAACAAACAAACAACAACAAAAATCACAAAAGAAGCCCCCAGAATTTATATGGTACCAAAACAATTGCTATAAATACTGAAAAGGTGACAAATATGAAAAGGTTTTATTTTGAATATTTTGATTTGAACGTTTGAGTTCTCTGCCAGCACAGATAGGCATAACCTCTTTGAATGTCACTTGAATCACTTCACAGCAGCTGGAAACACGGGCTGTGTTACCAGATGAAAGGCTTCAACCTGTGTGATTCCCTTCATATTGCTTTCTGTCTTTCCAGTGTCAGGCAAACTGATGATTTCTTCAGGGAGTGCTGTTCCTTTTTCCTGCTCTTCTGTCTGCTTTGAGATGCTGCCTTGCTGCCTCTATGCATTCAGTTTCTTTCACATATAACATGGACATCTCTTTCTAGGGAGACATTCCCATTTAGACGGGGATACATTTAAATAACTTTGGGTTCCCTAACTTCAGTGTTGCAGCCTGCTGTTATCTTGCTCAGGGAAACACCATGCTGTCCTGACTTATTTCTTACAGGTCTGGATCCCCAGTACTTCAGAAATAATTTTGCGAAGAGCACAAGGATTAATTTTAAAATAAAACATTCCAGGGAGAATTAGCTCTATTTCTTCAGAAATACTACACAGTTCTAAGAAGTTGCTAGATTGCTGGGACTTAGTCATGCTTATGATCATGAAGAATGTATCCATCTCCTCACTTTAATGCTAGACAAACTTTAAATGGTGTAATGCCCCTTAAAATCAGTATCATTTCTTTCCTGTTTTCCTATTAATTTAATGCAGTTCCAGACTGACATAGAGCTGTATAGTTCCATATATACAGTATATGAGTATACGTTTGGTTCTAGGTAGCCAGTGCTTTTTCACAGAACTCTGCTTTCTTCTAATAAACTTGTATGCCTGAATTATTATTTTCGTGTACTAAAAGCTGCTCTGCAGCTTGTAGCATGGCACTCATCTGTACTTAGCACCAAAATAAGGAGTTGGTATGCAGGATGCGGACAATTCTTTTACTCCAGATGCTGTATTCAAACTGCAGCGGTCCATTGAAGAAGTAGAGGTAACCTGAGGAAAAAGAAAGTTGAAATGAATTTAAATTGAAAAATCTATTTCTATTACTATTACTATTACTATTATCACTATTACTGTTACTATCTACTTTGACTCTGAAGATATACATCTCCATATTTTATAATAATATAATTGTCAAAGAATAGTTGATATCAGAAGCCTGATCTAGGCAAGAACAGAAGTGTTGATGTCAAAAAAGTCAGAATTACAAATGACAGAATATCCTACAGAACACTAATGTCAAGCTGCAGCCACAACTAATAGTAATAAAGCTTCATTGTCAGGTTACCTACCATTTCTGTGGTAGACTGCATCCACTCTATCACCAATTCCTGCAAATTCATCTTCTATGAACTTGGGGTAGCCCGTGTCCATAACCTCTGTCTCTTCATCATAACTACATTAAGCATAAAAGAAAATAAAAATTCAGAGAACTTAGCCTGGTCTGTTCCCTTGCATGCTTTGAAGTTACCCGCACCAAGAGAAGCCAGCAGCCATTCAATCCCTTACGCTCAGTGCAATAATAAAACTCAAGGCAATAAGTAGGGCACCATTACACCAGAACACACTCTCAATAATCACAAAACCAGTAAAGTCACATTTTCAAAAGTGCAAAAACTACCCATTATAGGGAAATGATTGTACGTCAGCTTATCAGCAGTGTGATTCTGCCCTCAGGCTGCTTGACATGGAGATTATTGGAAGGGATGGTAACATCTTTTCTAAATATGTGAGAGACCTGGCTGCAAGCCCCCCTCCTGGCCAAGAAAAACAGCCATTGTCAAGTAAGCTAGATGTCCTGCTCCCACAGGAGCCACACGAACAACTTTAGGGAGCAAGATAAAACTTTGTCTAGAAGATTCATCCATGTTATAGACTCTCATGGATAGGGCAATTTGTTCTTTCCTTTCTTTCACTCTTTCAGTTTTTACAAGCTGTGCTCATATATTTATAAAAATCCTGCATGCACTTTCATGATATATTCTAGACATATGTCACAGCTGTGAAAAACATAGACTGACAACATCTGAAGCATAATGCAAAATATTTGCTGATCTTTTGACACTTCTGCACACGTTATGAAAAGGGCATTGAAAAGAAGCACCAGTCTGTTTGCAGCTTACCTCCAGTACTTATTCCCTGTAAAAAAGAGAGTCTTGCCAGTGTCATCAATATGGACCACTGCATCTATCCTTTTCATTTCTTTTGGGAATCCCATTTCATATATCTTTTTAGGAAAGCCTTCAACTATGTCATAGCCGTTCAGAGCCCAAACCTTCTTTCCTGAAAATAAGAATAAAGCATGTATTATTCTTTTCTAAAGGCTGAGCTTTGAGAGAATGATAAAATGAAGATGATATGATCCTTATTTTCATATATCTAAAAGATTCTTAGGCCACATACTCCATGGGTATTAAACTATTCATGCTAAAAGTAATCCTAGCCATAGGAGTTTGATTGTACAGCTCTTAAGTTAATGAAAGTTATGTAGGTTTGCGTGGGATGGAGCCTGCATTCATTGTATTTTGTGTAAGGAAGATAGAATGTTATGTACATCCATTCATTACCTCTCTGTCTCTCATTGAACTTGAGTGAATATGTAGATTTTCCTGCCAACAACAAAACAAAAAAACTCACCTTTAAACATGAAGACAAGATCTTTAATGGGGTTTTCATAAGCTGCATCTATTTTGTTTGGAAGCTCTGGCCAAAAGGATTTAATTAAAACAAGTTCTGCTTCAACCATCTGAGGGTGCAGTCTCCAGAAAAACCTAGTTCAGAAAAAAAGAATAACAGAGAAGTTGGGGTGCTCTTTGTTTTTTTTTTTTGTATGTCTGGTTGGTTGTTTTTTTTTCATTCAGAATAAGAGAAACAATTGCACTCAATGTAATGTTTCTGAATCTAGTATAACTTGATCAAAATAAATGCGAGTAGATTTATGTGCATTGACAAAAGCCCTGTGAAATGAAAAATATGAAGAAATAGTGCAGCCTCCAGCCATATCAGCTTCACTTCACATTGTTGGGCAGTCTGGGATGTAACTGCACTGCAAGTCCTGCCTAAAAACACATGTGATATAACTTCTTAAAAATATCAATGCTGATTTGGGAATTTTTATATTTACATAGATCTTTAGTGAAAAACTCAAATGGCTCTCAAATTTTATCAAGTAGCCACTGTCCATTACACAACAGACTCTTTACCTGTCCTTGAAGACCAGCATTTCTCCACGAAGTTTTGTTATGGCATCAATTGATAAATCTGCAGCACATTGCTCTGGTGTTTTGGGATGTTTTGGGTTGGGATCTCTGTCTCCAGGACCTGGAACGATATAATATGATAACAGCCTGTCAGTTTTCCTGTTCTATGGCTCATAATATTAAATAGGGTATGGAAATGTCCCCAAAAACCACCATGAATAAAAGCAGAATGGCAAATGATTTGTACCAGAGAAAGTCTGTTCCCTCTTTCTCTCCTTTAGCCAAATGCATTATAGATTTTGTAGTTCAGCTGCAAAGATACTACATGGACTAATTTCCTTTATCCTAATTCTGAAGATCCTCTAAAAGTTTTATTCTTTCCATGACTGAAACCTGAATATTTCTGTTCTCCTTTCTATATCTGCCTGTTTTACCTTCTCAGGCAAAAAAATAAAAGGATTCTGTGTGCTCTCTTTTTCCACCTCATCAAAGAAACAGCACAGCTACCAACACTCCTCTGCAGTATTACTTTCTTTTTTACCCCCCTGAACTACTAAATCTAAGCATCTTTTGTCCTTTAGTCGGATTGCCATGAGTTCAGTGATTAGGACTTAATCAATCATGAGTGTTGCTACTGAACATCTGAAGGCCTTTAGTAACTGTGCAGCATATCTGTAACAGGTTATAATGACACAGGCAATACATATTTTACATTATACAGACTTACCATAGAGCTCTTGGATCCCTTGCACATCATCATCAGGAAGCACAAAACCAGATTTTCCAGTATAAGTGTAAATTGGGAACATCAGTGCTCCAGGGTCTCTGGAGTGTTCAAGTCCCAGCGAATGGCCAAATTCATGAGCAGCAACAAGAAACAAGTTATATCCTATAACAAATGACAACAGAAGTAAATGTATACCTCCCTATACAGCCAAAGTGCACTGGACTACTCAGCCTTAACACTGTGATTTAATGTGAGGTAACGAAGGAGAGAGAAATGGAGGAATTATATATAATTTCTTGACTTTTTCCATCTACTAGAACATTTGTTTTAAGAAGGGCTTAATCAACTGCCTCATAGCTGGTCTTCAACTATCTCTTATTTGACACTGTTCTGTAGGCAGCTTTGATTCCTTGATGGATTCCTTGAAATTTCTTAGTGATGCTGAAAGATCTAGGATGAAGTCTTAGTGATACTTAAATAAAGAAAAAAAATTTTGTTGGGAATTCACTTCCAGTGGAAAGTCTGCATTGTTTTTATATGGCAATAATTCTAGAAAGGTGAAATAACACTATAAAAAATTAATGTTTTGTTCTATTAAAGCTCTCTGCTGAATAGACAAGGAGAGTAATTTTCAAATTAGTTATGAGTAGTTGACTTCCAGCTGTGCAAAGTATATCATAGAATCATAGAATTGCAAGGTTGGAAATGACCTGCAGGATCATCTAGCCCAACTGTCCTCCCATCACCATTGCTAGCTCAAATGCTAAACTGTAGCTCCTCATCCAGGCGCCTCTTGAACACTGCCAGGGACGGCGACTCCACCACCTCCCTGGGCAGCCATTCCAGTGCCTGACCACTCTCTGAGAGAAAAAGTTCTTCCTCATGTCCAACCTAAACCTCCTCTGGTACAACTTGTGGCCATTTCCCCGGGTCCTGTTTGTTCCTGGGAGAAAAAGCCAAACCCCTCTTCATCACAACCTCCCTTCAGGAAGTTGTACAGTGCAATGAGGTCTCCCCTGAGCCTCCTCTTCTCCAGACTGAACAATCCCAGCTCCCTCAGCCGCTCCTCATAGAATTTGTGCTCCAGACCCCTCACCAGTTTTGTTGCCCTTCTCTGGACACGCTCCAGGCCTCAATGTCTTTCCTGTAGTGAGGGGCCCAAAACTGAACACAATGCTCAAGGTGCAGCCTCACCAGTGCTGAGTACAGGGGGATGATCACCTCCCTGCTCCTGCTGGCCACACTATTTCTAATGCAGGCCAGGATGCCGTTGGCCCTCTTGGCCACCTGGGCACACTGTCGGCTCATGTTCAGCCGAGCATCAACCAACACCACCAGGTCTCTTTCCTCTTCACAGTCATCCAGCCACTCATCCCCAAGCCTGTAACGCTGCAGAGGTTATTGTGGCCAAAATGCAGGACCCGATACTTGGCCTTCTTGAACCTCATCCCATTCACCTTAACCCAGTGATCCAGCTTATGTAGATCCCTCTGAAGGACCTCCTTACCCTCAGGCAGATTGACACTACTTCCCAACTTGGTGTCAACTGAAAACTTACTGAGGGTGCACTCAATCCCTTCATCTAGGTCTGAATAAAGATATTAAATAAGATGGGCCCCAGTACGACCCCTGGGGGACACAACTTGTAACAGGTTGCCAGCTGGACTTCACTCCATTAGCCACTACATATGTTTTTTCCAAAAGATAAAGTGAGGTCATTCCTGACTAGCTGTCCATGAGCTGTAAGTAAAATGCCAAGCTGACAGAGCACATTAAATATGCATTTTTAAAAATTGCTCCACTTCAGATATGTATATCTTAAAATTTATGGTTTGCTTATGTTATATTCCCATTTATGATTAGCAATTAAATCCACTTTCCAAGGAGTAGACAGTGAACATACAACCTAAAGAATAGTAAACAGAAAAAAACAGACCGAAACAAAACCATTTACAATTGTCCATCACCATTTAAAATAATCTCAGGAACCTCTCTTACCTTTAGAATCATTTGACCAAGTTTCATCATCATCAAAATGGGCATCTCCTCCATAGTCTGGACCAGGAGGGAAGGCATGAGCCAGTAATCCAGAGGGTCCATCAAAGGGGTAAAAGTCACCATGTTCTATAAAATAGCACTCAAACCAATTAAATCAATTATATCTCATCAAATTGGCAACAATATAACTATAATGTAAGAAGAACATGCTTTGTCTTACCTTTAGTGCCAAAAGAGATCATGATATCAGCAGTGCCACTTCGTATTCTGGTGAAGTTAAGGGGTGTCACATCAGACCAAACCTTGAATGCTTTTTTGAAGGCTCTCTCTACTTCAGCGCGTCTCAGATCGTGAGTGTAACTCACAATTCTATCAAACAGAATAATGTCTCTGGTTTAATTATGCAGATTGAAGAAATTATTTAATACACTTTCATCTGTCTGTACACTGCATTAAAAAGTATTGCTTGTTACCTCCCTGTGTTCTTATCTGAACATAAAGACCTGAACAGTTGCATACAATATTCCAAGAAATAAAAATAACCATTTCCATTTTCACTGTGGTTACTCAGATTCAACAGACCTCTATAATTAGTTTTACCTGAGTATTTAGAAAAAGACATATATTCATTAAGCCGTATCATTAACTTAAAACTATTTTAATGCCATTTAAAATGTCTAATGACCCTCGTTTTCTGCAGAGGCTAAGCATGATCCAAAGAGGCTTTGTGGGCCAGCATCATCGGCATTAAAGTAATATTTTTTACCAGATACTGGACTGATATCTCTGAAAGAGTTCAGTGATTTTATACTGGCTGCAGCTAACTGAAACACCATACCGATGGCACTGGTATTTAGGAAAATGAAGTCATATTGCTGTGGGAGAGCTCCCTCTCTGGCAGATTTGTCTAGGACAGGTCTAGAGGGAGCAGATGCCAAACCAGAGACAAGAGAGATCTAATGATTGAGCTCTGTGAGGATCAGAGGTGAGATGCGTGATTCCTATCCCTCTTTCATTTGGAACTGTGGATGTGCTCAGTGTCTACATGGAGGCCAGCTTGCTTCAGCTTGCTTACACACCAGCTCTACTACATGAAAAAGCATAATGGAAGATTATTTCCTTCCTTGGACTGTAAGACAGGTCTAGGGGACCTTATTAAAACTCTCTAAGGGACTCAAAGAATTTTAAATAGCAATAAAAATTCTGTCAAACTTGAACACACTCTTTTCCCATCAACTTTGTATACTGAGCAACCTAAGTGACAAGTTATCTGGAATGACAGAACACTCAAAATGCCATTCATTTACCTGTATGTTAAATTAGTTTTTGACCATTTGAGTTTTCGAGGGAAAAAGTTATATTCCCCCACATCTGGAACACCACATCTTGGTTTCTGCATGAGCTCGTATGTTTCTTCATCTAATTTTCCTGTCACCTCTAAACCAAAAAAAGCTTGCATTTCTCGAAGTTTAGAGGCCATTGTGTTGGCACTCTTCTTCATAACACCAGTGGGATTTGGACGGAGATCATAGTGAGTTCTGAGGTAGCGCTAAGAAAGGAAAAAAAAGTCATAAGCCTAGTTTCCATGCATTTCTAACTACACAACTGTTTATAAAACATGCAGATTAATTTATACTGTACCTCTGCAAACCGGAGGTCTTCCTCTGTGAATTCATGGCTATCATCAAGAGGAACAGGGACTGTCAGACAAAATGACAGACCCAGCAAGAAGAAGAAGACAGCTGAAAGCATTATGTTGGATTTGTGATGTCTGATGTGTTAGAGAGCAGTTACCTTCACATTTATAGCCCTGCTCCGATGAGTCACCACTTAGGGACAAGTTAGAACTTCCTTGTCCCTGAAAGTAAACATGCTTAGACGGCCACTTTTTCTTTCCTCCCCTGCACTGTGGTTTAGGCATCTGTTGTTCCACTGAGGTCTCTGAAACTGCATCTTCATATAAACAGTCTCAGGATATTTACAAAGGTTGTGGGAAGAAATCGGGAGAAGAAAATGGCACTTTTTGATTATTTTGCAATAACTTACACTGGCTTATTTCTCCTCTCTGCTAGAGTAATTATTTGTTTTCTACTTGACAGAAAATAAAAAATATATAATCAGCTTTTTTACTTTCAAAATAAATTCTACAACTTTTCAATACTTAGATGCATCAATTCTTAATTGTTGGAATAGACCAGAAATGTTTCAGTTGTTTTTAAATGCAGCTTTGAGTAATAAGAAATGATGTTATAGACATGACATGTAATAGGACATGACATTTCCTTGTTTTTGCAAAGAAATACAACTCTAAAGCATTAATAGAAGTTTTACTTCAGGAATCCTTAAAATGGCTTTCTGTCAATCTTTCAGACTAATTTACAGCTTGAGACATACCTAAAAGCAGAAATGTTAAGTGTCAGGAAACAGTTTTGAATATCTAACAGTGTTTTTACTAGTAGCTAAGCAGATCATGCAGAGGGGCTGCTTCATACAATCTCTCTTCTTTAATAACTTAAATTTACTTTGTGAGGAGAGAACAGCTATAGATCAGTGAAACACCTGCTCTAAGAGAGGCAAACTGCTACAGGCAGGCAATGAATTTGTGTATCTAGAATGACAGAAATGTGTGTTTTTCTTCTGAGGTGGAAAATAGGATGAATCAGGTGTTTTGACAGACATAGGCAATAGGCATTACTATGTTCGAAAGCTGAGCAGTGACTTCTGTCTCCCCAGGGTCACTCCAACCTCATCTGCTGCCCAGGCTTGTATCACTTACCATGCCCAGAAGTCTGGGTCCTGTTTTATCTGAATCCACCTTTCTCTTCTGTGGAGTCTATTCTCACATGGAAAACCTCAAGCAGCTTTCTGGTAGACACCAGTGCATGCTTTCTAATACACATGCCCTTGCACGCTGATGTTGCCTTGTTGACAGAACAGGAAGCAGACAAAAATCAGTGTAGCTGAATGTGACAAAGCTCAATTTTATGTAAACAGTATTAGCCTTTTATCTTACACGGTTAACAGCTAAAGAAAACAAACCTGGGAGGAATTTGCTATTTAGGCTATTTTTACCTCTCCACCCACCTCATTCAGTGCAAAATATGACTAAATCAATTAGGGATAGACAGCCTCTGTTCAGACTGTTTGCATATCCTCCTTTACATTGCCTATTACCGGTGCTGAGACTGTTTAGCAATGGTGGCATAAAGACTAGTATTACCTCATCTTCTTAAAAAGTGCTTCAAGGACAGCATATTGTTGATGTAATCATCATTCTGCACTCCTTGCAGGCATTGCCATTCCTACCAGCTTATCACTAGGAGCTATGCATGCATCTTACTTCTTTCTTTCCAGCACCTCCGTATTGATATTTGCTGCAGTGCGTTCATTGGTGTAGCGGTATTCGGTCACGGGGTCTGTACTTGACTCTGGTGAGGCTGCACCTCTAGTGCTGTGTTCACTTTTGGATCCCTCACTGCAAGAACGGCACTGAGGCCCTGAAGCATGTTCAGAGAAGGGCAGTGAAGGACCTGGACAAATCTTATGGGGAATGGCTGAGGGAACTGAGATTGTTTGGAGAAGGGGAGGATCAAGGGAGACCTTACTGCTCTCTACAACTGCCTGAAAGTAGGTTGTAGTGCGGTGGGGGTCGGCCTCTTCTTCCATATAATTGATAGGACAAGAAGTGATGGCATTTTGTTGTGCCTATTAGGAAAAATTTCTTCTCAGAAAAAAATGGTAATGCATTGGAACAGTCTGCCCAGGGACGTGGTTGAGTCATCATCCCTGGGGGTGTTCAAGAAATGTGTAGATGTGGCACTGAGGGACATGGTTTAGTGGGTATGGTGCTGATGGGTTGATGGTCAGACTAGATGGTCGTAGGTTTTTTTCCAACCTTAATGATTCTGGGATTCTGTATGGAATGATTGCTCACATTCAAGTGATGCCAGAGCCTGAGTTATAAATAAATAAATAAATAAATAAAAAACTGTGAAGAGAGACATGAATGCAGATAAAAGCAGTCAGAAGTGGTTTGTAGACATTGTGCTGATCCCACTGCAAACAAGCAAGCTTGGAAAGCTACATTTTGTAAGCACTGACACTCACAGAACTGCTGAACAGTGAGAATTCAACAGGCACTGCAAAATTTCTGCAGTTCTGGCGTCTTGTGGGTGTGGGCAAAGTTAGCTGGACTGATGGCAGTTTTCATAGGCACAACGGAGACTGGAATGAGCATGCTGTTTTTTTCCCTCAAGAGTAAATGAATACAGAAGAATGGGAGAAGTGGTGAGAAGTGTCTGAAACCAGCATTATTTGAAAACAAGAACTGTGCCAACAATATTGCTTCAACATATATTTTGTGGAAAGGTGTCATGTTTTGATTTACTCCCTGTGTGTGGTGACCAAAATAGCACTGCACAGAGAATGTGGTGAATGCTCTTTAACTCTCAAACTGCACACTCTTTACTTAAGGCAAATAAAGTCAGTAGGTCAATTTGTAAATGCACCTTACCACAAGTTGTATTTCAAGTTGGAACATCTCCAGCGCCTACAGTCACCTAATCACATATAGGTTGGCTTCCTATGGGAAGATATTCTGAGGCTCATGGTACAGATGGATAAATGAAGTCCCAGTATGGTTAAGATAAAAATCCAGCCATGCATCTGCAGGTGGGGATGGAGATGGAAATGGTTCATATGAGCAGGTCTTCCGCAGCGATGGTAAAGTATGTTACACCCACTTGGCTCCTCTAAGGTAATAGCACCCCTGTATCATTTACTGGACAAGAGATGCAATTGGAAGTGTTTTGCAAGGTCCAGGGCTGGAGTCAAGAATTATAAGCATGTTTTGTAAAGGCAATGGTTCTTGTACAAGTGGGTTCCTGCAGACCTTGTGGGCCACTATGTCATACAGCGACAAAGTGGCTGCCTTTCTGTTTGCCTACAGAGCAAGACAACTTACAGCACAGCACACTTATGAGTGTGACAGTACCCATAATAACTGTTGTTATATATGAGCTTCTGACTGCTTTTTTCTGCTTCAGAATGAATGCAGGATCCTAACCTGTCTGTGATCCTTTGTCAGATGTCACGTTTAGTTTTTGTACATAAGCAGTGGTATCTCACTGACCTGCTCAAGAAATGGGCCATCTGTTGTGCTTCTCTTTGCAATCAGGATAGCACTCCCATATCCAAGCTGTACGAACAATTTGAGGAAGATTTACAGCATTTGCTGTAATTGAATTTTATTGTTTCTTGAAATAAATAGATGGAACCTGTAAAAAATACTATTTTGAAGAATGACTGCAGTTATTGAGTTCTACGATAGTAAAATTATTTTATTCTCCCCTTATATTACTTTATTACTTCATAAAATGTGGTACCCACTTATCAAAGTTCAGTAGTCTCTGACCGGGCTCTTTTAGATGTTTCACACATTAAGAATTTAATATGTAAAACAAAGTTTACTTACATGAAGATATTTGACTGTACACAGCAATTTGATTTAGCAGAGTGATGGGCAATGTGCTTAATTCACAGTGTAAATATAATGCATTTCAAAGAGTGCAATTGCAAGATGCAGCTGAATCACAATACGTTTGTGATCCTTATTACCAGTCTCAGTAATGTGCTTACTGTAATGACACTGGGTGTCCCCAGTCCCCAGATAGTAATATACAGGTTGAAACCAAATCAAGTCCTTTGCTCTCTCCAGATCTCTTATTTATTTTGTTTCTCTGCAGCACTAGTTTATTTTTTATACTTACTGAGAGGCTAAAGGATGTATGCACTCCCCATGTTCGTCTGAGTAGCAAAGGAACGCGTTTTGCACTCTTGATTTACTCGGGGACACTCATTTACACAGCTGGTTGATCCACTGATTTAGCCAGCTCATCCAGCATGGTGGATGCCACCTCCAGTCCCATCTGTGTGAAGTTTATAATTCTTTGCAACACCCCTGTCAGTCAGTCACACCGTGTGCTCCTCATGAGTACACCCCCCTTGCCCACGGCCTCAGAGCTTCTTCCACTGTAGAGGTTCATTGACTTGTCACACCAATACCAAGTACTAAATATCCTGCTATCTCTATTGCTGGCAAACTGGGAAGCAACTCGGAGGTTTTTCTAGCCAACATAATTTTGCTCATAATGGGAAGAAACTGTTTAGAAGTAGAAAAAAAAAAGTGGAAAACAAAAACCCAGGAATCCAGTTCAAAAGTAAAAATGCAATTTGCTTTTTGAGACATCAACAACCTTATTTTTCTGTTTTTTAAATCCTGATGTTTACATTCACAAATGCTTACAAAATCTATTTAAAGATTACCTCTGTAGCACTGTGGCTGTCTGACATACGTGATTGGATCTTTGTATGTTTTGAGATATTTTTTCCTTTCGTCAACCAAGAAATACAAATAATATGCATTTAAAACATTTTAATTTTAGTTCTTCCATCATAGCAAAATATTTTCCCTGTCTGTAAGCTGTTTTATGTGTGACTTAATATGCAATATTATTCTTAAATCTTAACCAATCCATACAAGGATACCTGTTTTCCATAGAAATACATGCTTCACTGTAGGTCTAAAAATTAACATAAGGAAGAAACAAATGACTTCATTTATTCATGCAGTGATTCAACAGTTCCTTTCAGAAGCTTGGACACTTCATAATGAAACACAAATTTTGCATGTTTAATATCTAAGTAGAATTTGAACTTCTGGACACATTCTACACCTTCAGGAGGAACAGATGATTCTTTTAAGGATGTGAAATTAAAACTAATGTCATCAGCCCCCAAAAGATTTTTATTCACAATACTTATTTGTAAAAATTGGAGAAAGGAGCTTAACAGAAACACACACCTTCTTCTACCTTCATGTGCTCTTTACTTTAATGTGTTTCTATTAGTAATGAGGGCTACTCACGATTTCTGTTTTAATTTTCTATTGATTACCAATTAAGAAGAGCACTGTACTTCCTATATCTTTCAAGTAATAACAAATCAGAATACGTACAAGCACTACTGAGTCCAAACATTTCAAACCAGTGCTGTCTATAGCACCTGAATGCCATGGACACCTTTGTCATCTTTGGTATTCTAAGAAGAAATGTCACAGGTAGTGATGTGAATTTTGAGAAGGGGAGAGAAATCCTCTCCTTAGGGCCAGCTAAATATATGAGAGTTGTGGACACTCTCATATGTAGTTGTGGACACAAAATAATGATCTCTCCAGATGGAGGTATTAGCAAGCACTTTCAGAGACATCAGTGAATAAAAGTACAGTCTAGTTGAACTAAATTCTAATTCTGATTTCTATTCAGGATAAGAGCTTCCCACGTATATACACAAGTAATTGAAGATAGTGCCAAATAAATGGGAAAAAAGTGCACTGAAATTAGCAAAAGAGACAGTAACACAAATGCTAAGGACAACTGTTTGTCCTCCACAGAAGTGCACAGAAGACTCTTTACAAGTGAAGCTTACAGTACACTTTTTATTTGTAAGTAGTTGTAAGAGTAAAACCATACGTTTTAAAAACATTTAGGAAAGGAAGTATGATTTTAAAGCCCTGGCTTTTTCTTGCCAACCACACTCATGCTATTTATGCAGCTGGGCTTGTTAAAAAGCATTTTCTCATCTCTATTGCAAAAAGTCTTGAGAAGAAGTGGGAAAATCTAGATGTCTGATGCATACAGTTTCATAGGGAGTGCTACTAGCAAGTGATAAGGTTGATCTTAAGTTTTGAACTACCAATAAAACTACTAGAAGTAGATTTTAAGAACATCTTAGTGAAACCTAGCAAAATGCATGTTTTCCAGCGTTAAATTATCTGACACAGAAACAAACATGCCATTTTTCTGTTTCAAAGAAATGCAACGTAAAAGTGTCTTGCAAAAAAGTTACTGCTCCATATGCACTGAATTCATGAGAGGCCACTGGGAGAGCTGGAGCACTTGCCCTCTTAAGGAGAAGCTTGGGAATCCGGAGCAGAAAGAGCTCTGGGACGATATACCAATCAGCCACCAACGTGCATGGAGAGCTCATGGAGGAGCTGGAGCCAGGCTTCTCACTGCAGTGGAGGTCAGGAAAGAAATGACAATGGGTATTAACTGGAACAAGAGAGGTTGAGCCTGAATATAAGGAAAAGCATTTTTTCTCCATGAAGATAGTGAGGCAGTACCACAGGCTACCCAGAAAGGTTGTGCAGTGTCTGTCTTTGGGGGTTTTCAATCTCAGGAGGGTGAAGCCCTGAGCAGCTGAGTCTGATCTTATTTCAAATCTATCTTTAGTGGATTATCATGCATTTATTTTGGGTTTTCTCAATCACATTCAAATTTATTTATGACTGTTTTCACAGTATCAGTTGATCTTCAGTTACTGTGAAATACTAGCCAGAAACTGATACAGAAATAATAACCAGCTAATACATTTTGCAAATGCAAATGAATTTTAAAGGGATTCAGACTTAACATCTCTGGATAGTTTTAACAATTCAAACATACATTCTATATACTAGGCCAGATTGGATGGGGCCCTGGGCAGCCTGCTCTAGTATTAAATGGGGAGGTTGGTGGTCCTGCATGTGGCAGGGAGTTGAAGATTCATGATCCTTGAGGTCCTTTCCAACCCTGGCCATTCTGTGATTCTACCATGATATATTTTGTACACTGCAGTGCTTTATATGAACATTAACAGCATTTTCAGCAGTTAGTACAGACCTCATTTCCTCTGCCATTCTCTGTCATTCTTTTCATGCTTGTTTCTGTTGTATAGATGTCCTCTTGTATCCACTTCCACAAAAACAGAACAGCTTCTATTCCTCTTTCTCACAAGATCTGCAGACACAGTAATACAAACACATGAGGGCCAGCATTCAATTGCAAATATATGGGATAGATTACAAAGATTACTCCCACAGAATCTCTCATAAAAGTACTCAGTCTCAGTGTCATCTGACTCTAAACACCAAGCCCTGCTAACATGGCAGCCGTGGGAAGAAATGAGAATAAAACAGATCTTTAGAAAATAATTTCTCAATATATATATCTCTGATTTTATATCTCTGAAAATCATGTTTTTCTTGGTATTCGACATTTTCTGTACCAGTAAATACCAAGAAGTGACATTTCTGTCTTACTTGTTCTTCTTTCCTCTGCAGGCAGTATGCTCTGATTCACTGCAGTGATAAAGAGCATCTGCTATTAACTTGAGTTGGTTAGTGAGGTTAAAGTTTTGTAGAAAAGTAAAATTAGAAGTGTATCAATTAGCAGGAGAAGATTGACCAGGGTTGTGACTTTGATTCAAAATGCTTGCTCATTTTGGCACTGAAGCAATTTTACTGAAATAATATCAGTATCGGAGACTATGCCCATGTTACACTGTGTTGTGTGGAGGCTTGACACAGTCAAATTTATAAAAGAGTCAAGCAGAAGCTGCAAAACAGTAAAAGCCAATCAAGTGGGAAAAGCAGCTCAGCTTACATTTGTGAGTAGGCAAAGATGTAGCTTTCAGCATCCTAATCTAGCACTCCCACATACTTTTCCTTAAGATACCTCCTGTTCCACTGCTGCTTCAGGCTGAGGTTTTCCTGGTCAGCAGCAAGAACAGAAGCAGTCATTGGAATGTTCAGTGTGGGTATCTTCCTGACCTTCTCAATTTCTTTGCATCCTATCACTCGTCACCTGAGAAAAGAGATCAACACCCTCCTCACTACAACCTCCTTTAAGGTAGTTTTAGAGAGCAATGAGGTCTGCCCTCAGCCTCCTTTTGTCAAGACTAAACAATTCCAGTTCCCTCAGCTGTTTCTTGTATGTCTTGTTTCCTAGCTCCTTCAGCAGCTTCATTTCTCTTTTCTGAACATATTCCAACAACTTTCTTCTTTTAGTGAGGAGCCCAAAATGGAACACAGTACTTGAGGTGGAGTCTCACCAGTGCTGAGTACCAAAGGGCAATCACTTCCCTATTCCTTTCGGTCACACGACTTCTGAACCCTCTTGGCCTCATAAGCATACTGCTGGCTCATATTCAGCTGGCTATCAGACAGCACCCTCAGCTCCTTTCTCCTGGTCAAGTTTCCAGTCAGCTTTTCCCCGAGTCTGTAACACTTAATGGGGTTGTTGTGACACCACCACCCTAGTGCAGCACCCAGCATTTATCCTTACTGAGTGCAATCCAATTGGATGCAGCCCATGGAACTAGCCTATCCAGATCCCTCTGCAGAGCCTTCCTTCCCTCAAGCAGGTCAACACTACCACACAACTTGGTGTCATCTGCAAACTTACTCAGTGTGCACTTAATCCATTCACCAAGATCACTGATAAAAGCGTTAAACCAAATTGTCCTCAATAAAGAGCCCTGGTGAACCACATTTAAATCCATTCATGACTCCCTGTGCCAGGCCATTCAGACAGCTTTTTACCTAACAAACAATACATTAGTCCAAATCATAAACAGCCAGTTTCTCCAGGAGAAAGCTGTGGGAAGTAGGGATGCTGAAACAACGGACAAAGTAACTTGACATGCCAATGAGTTAAATGAATAAAATGCATTGGAACCTTGGATGAAACTACTAGTTTGATATTGGTCTACTTTTGTACCCAGAATGCTCTCATTATTGAGATGGCAGAGATCCATTGTAGTAGAATACCTGTGGGACTGAAAAAAAAACTATGTTCATTTTTTCAGTTGTATCCACATTTTTCCACAAACAGTAAATAGACGACGGAACAATGGAACAAAAACTAGTGACTCTTTCCCAAAGGCCCTACATCATATGAGAAAAGAACACAATGGACATATACACAGGTGAGTTCAAGAAAGAAAATGATACTTGGTATTGTTGCTAACAGGTACATGAATGGCCTAATTCTTGCTCTTTTCTTTGTCAGCTGAAGCCAAGAAAACCGACAAAGTAACTTGACACGCCAATGAGTTCTGTCAAGCAGGAGTTCCCTTTATTACAGCTCTGGGTGCATGGGGATCATTCCCACCAACGTGCACACCGAGAGAAGCAGCGACTACATTTGGCATCTTCATATTCATTACATTCCAAGGACACGGGCAGAAATAACATCCCTGGTGGTTGTGGGATGAAGGATGAAGTCATTTGCACTGTAAGTTTCCAACCTTTTAAGGGTGGTAGCCCAAACTGGTTCCCACTGATGTTATATTGAGCTGAGGCACCTGTTTTGCCCTCTTATCTTCAACACCAGGACATTGATTCTGCTTCCTTATCTTCACTTGACCACAACCTCCGTGGCTCTTCTGCATTCTGTTCTGGAGCTTGCACTTACACAAGCCTCCATCCTTCAGTTTATATCTGCTCACGTTGTGCAAAAGGCTGTTCTCACAATAGCCTGCTGTAGGGAACCTGCTTTGGCAGGGGCGTTGGACATGATGATCTCTGGAGGTCCCTTCCAACCCCTACGATTTTGTGATTCTGTGATTAATATAGAAAAGCTGTTCTCATGATTCAGTAGTACCAAATGTTTTGTTGAAGTCCAAGTTAATGACGTCGACAGCCTTTCCCTTGTCCTTTCTGTGGGTCACCTTATCACAGAATAAAATCGGGTTAATAAAGGTATAAACAGAAGGGATGAATCAGTTCTGTTTGCCTTTGTTTCTATGAAAAGGAATTATTTGAGTTTTTAACTATCTCCTGGATTACCTAACTGCCAGAGCACAAACTCTGAACGTACTATTAAGCATACTTTCATTTGGTTTTGGTGAATTGCTTCATTTTGTCCATTTAAAATATAAACGCATAAAGGGTCAATCCAGCTCAGTATTACATCTTTTAGGAATGACAATAGGAGATTACATCTAGGGAGAACAAGAGTCTGATGAATTTTTGACTGATGGTGACTGCTTTAATGATCTTATGCAATAGCAAGTTCCAGATGTTCAGTAACCACTCTGTCAGAGATGTTTTCATTTCCAGGTTTTAAATCAGACTCCTACAAGCCTGACTGAATGCCCTTTAGTTCTAATACTGTACGGTTTGGTACGTAAGAGTTATGCAAGATTAGCCTTCAAGATATTGCAAATTTTAGTTTTATCAAGTTCTTGATCTCCTGTTCTCTAAATTTCTCATTTGATAGCTGGCCATTTATTTAATCATTTTGACTGCCCTTCTGCTTTCTTTCCCTAGTGACATTACATCCTTTCTGTGGATGTGGAGAACTAAATTGTATGAAGTACTCAAGAACTGATCACAAGAATGTTTTGTACACTGCCAAAATCATGTCCTCCACTGTGTTCTCAATATGTATCCTGATGATGCCTAGCACTTTATTGACTTCTTTTGGCTGCCAGAGTATGCTGAGCCTGTGATTTAAGATCTATTCTTGTGGAATTCACTCTTACTCTTATAGAATACCCCATTTACTTCGAACTCCAAATGGCAAAAAGAATGTGAACTTAGAGAAATAAATCTGACATGTTTGTAGATTTTTGCCCCCGCTGTCTTAGTGGTAGTGAAAAAAGTACTCTAGAAGTGCATACTGTCCTCTAACATTATCAAAATACAAGGATTGTTTTATCTTATTGTGCAATTTTAGTTGCACTGTTTCTTTTTCACTTACAGGAAAGGAATAATAACAGGAAGATCAATTTCCCATTCAAAGCTAACATGACAAAAAAACCCATAACCATGTGGCTAAATAAGATACAAGTTAAATTATAGTGTATATGATATGCTGTCTGCAAGATAGATGTGTGGATTTTTTTTTTAATAAAGCTGTGTGAATAACTGATACTTCTGTGTAGTCAGAACAAGAAAAATATGAAAAAAAAATTGACCTGAAGATTTCTGTATTTGTCTTTCTTGCTAAAGGAAAAAAATAAAAATAAAAAAAAAACAAACAATAAAACCACAACATACATCAGGTACTTTTAAAAGAGAGCTAAACAAAGAGAATCTAAACAAATCCATTTAAAAATCTTTGGCTTTGGTAAGATGGTTATTATCAGTCCAGTAGGTTGTTGGAAAGTCTTTCAGAAGGAATCTATTATGCTCTGAGGTGCTGACAATGCAGTGCACTGATCGTCTTCACCTGATATTTTTGGCTTTAGTTAGAATTATATGTCTTCTGCTCACTGAATTAAACCATATTTTTCACTGAAGAAGATATTTGTCTAAACATTTGCTTAGCTTGAGTTTTCTCAGATTTCACAGTAATAAGTCAAGAAGAAAATTCTAAACATTAGTCTTGTATGTTCAAAATGCTTCAAAAGCAAAGCAAATTAATACTTACATATTTCTAGTATCTAACTAAGCAGTTTTGCTTGCAGGGTTTATAGTCACATTTTCAAATATTTATCCCAAATTTAAAAGTCATTTGTCAAGTTCAGTGCATTCATTTCCAGTAGTTTGTTAAACATAATAATTTAGTCCTCATATGCAATGCAATGAAAAATCAATGGTATAAAGGAATATAAAATTATTAGTGAAATCATCAGTCTATATTGAAGATCAGTAATGTCAGCAAGCTCATTAAAAATAGTCACAGGTTTGAAAGACAAAATTGTCTTTCAATATTTCTCATGCATGAAGCCCAACTGAAGTTTGTAAATTAATTCTTCAGACAATGTATGTGACAAAATAGTAACCACTGCTAATTGTCTCCCAATCCAATCTCTGTGTAATGACAGTTGGTATCCCTGCTCCAATCAAATATCAGTAGACCACCCAAAAGACATACAACAATAGTAGGTTTCTCCCGTTAAATTCTATGCCAGACACTATTGATTAAAACTGTGAATGAGTGAGCACGATGTTGATGAGAGTTATCTGTGAAAATAAAGTGAGCAGTTATGCTGAAATTGTGCAGTAATAATTATTATCTCGCCCACTTCATTCTTAGAGAATTAAACTGGTTGAATGCTATTGACTAAGGTCTATGACTCAAGCCTGGCTCTGAAACTCAGACGGTGTTTTTAGGTTATTATAAAATTGAAAGACAATCGAGACAGGGAACTCCCATGTCCTGTTTACCTAGGCAATGAAGAGTAAGGTGTTTCACAGACATTCAAAAGCAGAAAAGACTTTTCAATGAGTCATGGGTGGATTTTCCACAACTGCTGATAAATAATAGTTTGAAGCACAAAACAACCTGCAGAACTCTTAAATGAGCTGTATGCCAAAGGAGGTTCAAATTAGTTATTTTAAGTTCACAGTCATTCTGTTTGAAGCATACAAAGCTAAACTTGCCCAGACACAACAATGTGTTGGTATTTTCTCACTGTAAATCCTTTAGACAAGTGATTTAATTGACATATGTTACATTATGCTAGAGCCTTCTTTATCAAGGGTCTGTATGCAAGTAGACACTTCTCTGACCAATTTCTAAATCTCTTTGAAAAGAGTCACTAAATGGTTTAAAAAAAGAAAGTTTGGAAGATATTGTTCATTTATTTATGTTAGTATTTTCAAACAACATATACTGTTAAATATGCAACCACTTCACTCTCTGCTTACTAGAATTGCTCTAGAATACCAAGACTAGATAAGTATATTTTTCTGATTAAATAAAAGGTGTGTTTTCAAATACAGTCCTATATGATTAGATATATTGTCAGAGCTGGCCTGATAAGAATGTTGGATACTTCTCTTTCTCCCATTGGACTAGGCTTTGCAGACATTGAAGATGTATCAGGGGGAAAATCCTGCTCAGTTAGCCCCAACTCCTTTTATTTTTCCTTGGAGCATTCTGTTTACAGAAAACATTTTCTGTTTCTATAACAGGTTATGACTGGAATTTGGTGATTCATCTGATTACTTTAATCCAGATCATCTAATTTGTAGGTGATACCACAGAATTAGCATTCTTTGCTGATAGCAATGAAGCCACAGAGATGCTAGTATTTCTAAGTAGGTGCTAAGTATCAGAAGGTATTTGTTAAAAATGTTTGAGTATTGTCTGACTCAGACTGAAAGTAAACCAAGCCAGACCAAATTAAACAAAGTCCTCATAAGGGGCAACTTTACTTGTCAGTCAGCTTTATGGAACAGCTTTATATTCTGCTTTATAGTCAGCTTTATAGGCTGTTGAATTCCTGTATCTTGATTAACAAAGGACAGTCTTCAGTGTTAAAATATTGAACCTCTACAGATCTAGGTTATATCCCAAATTTGAGCTGCCAGAACAGATACACCTACAGTTAAACGAAGAAGAAAACATAAGCTGAATTATTTATTCTAACTCAAGCTGAGTTTGTTACATTTTCAACATGAGGGAGATCAGTCTTGCTTTTTTTTATAAGAAAAGTCTTTTATTTATAAGGAAAACGCAATAGATACTAACAGTTGCAGAGAAGATCGGATTGCAAAATAAATAAAATTGTTGGAGTGTTTTCCTTAATGCCTCACATCTATCATCAGTGCAGACATGGTCTTTACTGTTCCTATAATTCACCTGAGCCTCAGGATTTCTAGTATGAATGATATATTTTTACTGGGAAAGCATTCCTTGGTTTTATCCTTCCTATTTGTATTTTTAAATCAACTCCTAAATCAAATCAGCCCCTATCTCAAATCAGCTTATTATGCTGTCAGTAATACAGTCACCAAATGCTAAAATATTGAGAACATTCATGCCTTCTCTGATTACAAAAATATTCATATATGAAAGTTGCATTTATCTCCATAATTCCCTTTGCTATGGCACTATTGAATCATGAGAACAGCTTTTCTATACTGTGAGAACAGCCTTTTGCACAACGTGAGCAGATATAAACTGAAGGATGGAGGCTTGTGTAAGTGCAAGCTCCAGAACAGAATGCAGAAGAGCCACGGAGGTTGTGGTCAAGTGAAGATAAGGAAGCAGAATCAATGTCCTGGTGTTGAAGATAAGAGGGCAAAACAGGTGCCTCAGCTCAATATAACATCAGTGGGAACCAGTTTGGGCTACCACCTTTAAAAGGTTGGAAACTTACAGTGCAAATGACTTCATCCTTCATCCCACAACCACCAGGGATGTTATTTCTGCCCGTGTCCTTGGAATGTAATGAATATGTAGATGCCAAATGTAGTCGCTGCTTCTCTCGGTGTGCACGTTGGTGGGAATGATCCCCATGCACCCAGAGCTGTAATAAAGGGAACTCCTGCTTGACAGAACTCATTGGCGTGTCAAGTTACTTTGTCGGTTTTCTTGGCTTCAGCTGACAAAGAAAAGAGCAAGAATTAGGCCATTCATGTACCTGTTAGCAACAATACCAAGTATCATTTTCTTTCTTGAACTCACCTGTGTATATGTCCATTGTGTTCTTTTCTCATATGATGTAGGGCCTTTGGGAAAGAGTCACTAGTTTTTGTTCCATTGTTCCGTCGTCTATTTACTGTTTGTGGAAAAATGTGGATACAACTGAAAAAGCAGGTATTGAACATAGTTTTTTTTTCAGTCCCACAGGTATTCTACTACAATGGATCTCTGCCATCTCAATAATGAGAGCCTTCTGGGTACAAAAGTAGACCAATATCAAACTAGTAGTTTCATCCAAGGTTCCAATGCAATTTATTCAAGTAATTTTTAGACTTCATACGAAAACTGTCTGTCAGGGAAGTTTTTGTATAGTGCAGAAGAGAAAAGTTAACAGAAACAGGCTAGGGAATAACTGCCTTTTCTACCTGGGAAAAGAACTGAAAGAGAAAATGAAACACGGTTGAAGTCAGACTTCTAAAAAGTGACCATTAAAACAAAGGTGAGCCATCTGTTAAATAGAGTTACTCAGAATGCACATTTTTTTATGGAAAAAAGTCCTTATACTGTAAGGTCCAACTAAGTAGTTAGTTGGGGAGACAAGGGCATTTCTATTATACATTCATCTGCTTTCCACATAAAGTCTGTAAACATAAAAAGTGCTCTAACATTGAACAAAAATTTTCAAGATTTACACATTTTACACAAGGTGGGATGCCAGAGAGGCCTGCAGTAAGAAATGTGCAGAGATAGAACAGGAGGGAGTATGTTTTCTAACTAGGCAATGTCCTATGACCTGGGCGTTAAGAACACAGGGCAAAGAGAAGATGAGACACTGTAAAGCAAAGATGAGATAACAACGTGCTCCATTCATAAATGAGATTTGATTAATTCATATGGGAGGATGATTCTCTTGAGGCTAAGAGAGAAAGATCTGATGGAATTACTTCTTTTTTCTCCTTACTGGAACACTGCTAGAGGGTGTCACAAAATACAAGCATAGCCACAGATGAGCAGAATCAATACAGCAGTCTTACTAGTTGATGTATGTATGTATATATTTTTCTCTTTCCCACAAAAGGAACACAAAGAAGGAAAGTTGATTTGTGGTTTGAAATCTTTTCCCCATGTGTTTATAATTTCCCCTCTGCATTTGTCTCGAAGGACTGGTTCTAGTTATATAGAATCATGTATGTTCTAGTTGTAATTCATGGCAGAGGAGCATGTTAAAAGCAAGACTTTCTTTCAGAAATATATATCTCAAGAAAGTCTGCTTAGTTAGATACATTACAATAGTTTCCTAATTTATTTCTGCCTTAAAATAACTACAACAAAAACAATCAGGACAAAATACAGTGTAACTGTATTTTCTATTTGTAGCCTCCATGAAGATAACAAATAAAGTTTAAGAGTGGGAAACCATTACAATTAAAGGAGAAGCAAAATGATATGAGAGGAGACTACAGCCCCAAATTTGGAAAGGTGATATATCTGTAATCCCAGATGTTCTGGAGCTGGTTCATATCATGTCACAAAATGAAATGAAAAGTCTGGTAAGCACAACACATGATTCATATCCTGGTACTGGACTTGAAACACACACAAATAAATAGAATAAACAGAAACATTTTGTAAAACATTGGACCCTGTTTTATGAGGTACCTTGAATTTGCTTTGTTGTGTCCTCCACTGGAATGAGGTTTTGCATTCCAAGGATGAATATAATTACTGTCTGTTGGAAAGCAAGAACATTTTTAATAGATGAATATCAAACTCTTTAACTCACATCACCAGCTGCCACAAATTAATGATAAAGAAAGGAAGAATAGCAGCCAGTTTTAAAGCAGCAGAGCAGCTGTTGAACTCTACATAGCAGTTCCTACATTGTCAAGCTAGCTACTTACCTCAGCACAAGTTGCAAATAGTTTTAAGTCCAGCAAGTGCTCTCTTCAGGTCTACACTTTGTGAGTAAGCTTGGAAAACAAGTGCGGATTCAACTCAGGACACAGCCCAGAGTTCAAATCCAAGTATCCAAGATTGAGTGCTCATGGAAAACAATTTACCTATATAGGCATTTGAGCAGTGTAAATACTGCCCGCAGGGATGAGAATGTGTGGCCAGAGGTAATATAAAACTACTGACTCAGGGCTGTATGCTGTCCTCTGCCTGTGGGAGCTGGGCCACAAGTACAGGTTAATCATCCCACAGTGACTCTGGCTAACAGAAGTGTACATTTTTGATAAGTCAGAACTTCTTTCCTGAGGTTGCAAAGATTCCAGGATGAATCCTCATGGCCAATCACCAACTCAGAGATACAGCGTTTCAAAAATCTGCTCCAAATACAGAATTGAAAATTTGATGGAGTTGAAAAACTATATTAGATACTAATAACTATTACAAAGCCTTAGAATGAGTGATACTAGAAATAGCAGAGATTACAAAGATTTCTTTTGTTTTCTATTTGATTACTTGATGATATAAATCTATGTTATAGTTTTATTTTGAGTCTCTGTAGTACAATTAATGGTGGCTGTAGATGACATTTAAAGATTCTGGATAAAAAGTGATATTTCTTTTAAGAGAAAACTGACACCTGAATATAATATTACTAATATTTTTGCTGTTCTTAGTTATGAACAGAAGGCCATAAAGGATTAAACACATCTAGTGTTAATGTTAATTCCCCCATACGTCAGCATTACAGAGTAAGATCTAGACGATTTCAAAGGGTATCATGAAAATTTGAAAGTGGAAAAGGACAAAAATCTGAAATAGGAGGAAGATTTTTCAGAGTTTCAGTAGTTCTATAGAGAGCTAAAGTTCACAGCTGCACAAGAGGGCTTTTATTGGTTATTAAATACTTTTTCTTTAGTTCAGAATTTTGCTTGTTCATCTTAAAAATATATATATAAGTATATATTTTATATAGAAGTAATCCTAAATTTGTGTAATATCACAGTTCACAACTATAAGAAATATATTTAAAGGTACTAGAGGCACATGATCTTTCTTGACTAATACAGTTTATCAGTCATTAATTTTCCATCACATTTGAAATAGGATTGAGAACTGCATTTGCTAGATGAAGAAGATATGATTAACAGACCATGTACAAACTTGTTTGCATGAATTTTGTAAGAAATTTGTAACAACTACTTTGGAATTGTAACAGGATCTTTCCTACCGCAGACTGGAGACCTATTTTTCTAGAAGAAAGAGAATGACTGTGACTGTAAACCCTGAAGAAAGGAATTATAGGATTTTTAGGGCACATTCACTCCCATGGGTTGCCACCAAGTGGGATCACTGTGGGTTTCCTCATCTCTGTTGATGGTTTTACTGTTTACGGATGTGGAGTGTGGTGAGAATGGAAAGCAGATTCCTGGCTTTCCTATTAATTCAGACTTCATTTGGGGAAGGAAGAAATGAGCAAACTTCATTTTTAACGTTTCTTAGTAGGGTTAGGAAGGAAGGATGTAACATTTAGACACATACATAAATCTTTTTTAAAATCTGCACCAGAGGGCAGTGGGCATGGAACAGCCTGCCCAGGGAACTGGGCACGGCCCCAAGCTGCTGGAGCTCAGGGAGTCTTTGGACAGTCATACTGTCTGATTTTTGGGTAGTCCTGTGTAGAACCACGAGCTGGATTCAGTGATCTCTAAGGGTTCCTCCCAACTTGGCATATTCCATGATTAACAGAAAAATTAGGAAAGCTGTAATTACTGAGTACCATGGACTTCTCTCCATGCTATCCTTTGGATGTGGAAAGCTTAGTAGTTTTATTAAGTCTCTCGTAAATAAAATACTTGTCTTATTCATGCAGTAAAAAAAATAATAATAGCCTTGTTCTGACAGGAAGGAGTCAATTCAGCAGCTACATGCCCCCGCTAAAATTAAGTCCAGTTGCAGGGAAACTCAGGCCTGTGCATCCAGAAGGCTTTCATCTGGATCAAGCTACCTTTTCAGTCTGTTCAGCTGCACTTGTAAAAAATTAGAAGTGGGGAAAGATAACAGTCTGAGAATGGAAGGGAGCATTTTCAGCAGGGCAGGGGCACACTTGGCCAAGACCAACAGACTTTTGACACCAATCGCTCTGCAAAGGGCACTTCATGCAGGATACCAGCAGTTTTGCACATGCAAGCAAAAGAGGCAGATCTCCCTGTCACCCACAGGGGTCGGGAATGGAGATGGAGCCTGCAGGGCAGCAGGAGGGACTGGGATGGTCTCAGACCCCACAGCGGGGCGGGTCAGGGGGGCTCAGGACGGTTCCGATTTATGGGCTGTCTGGAGAGGAGGGTTGGGGTGGCTCAGCTCCTGGCAGGCCCCACAGGAACTCACAGAAACTTCCAGAAGGTGCTGCAGCCAAACCCAAACCAAACCACAGCTATGTGAACTGCTTCCCAACTGGCCTGTGTGGAAGTCTGTGACCTACTTACAACACCACGGCACAGAAACTCACCTCCTACCTGATTTATTTCCAAGAATCATGTCTTACCGCTTTTTTCTTTGTTTTCCCTTTTCTTTCCTGTCTGGTGCTATTTAGTCTGAAGACCAGTCTGAGGTGAGCCCTCTCTCCAGCCCCGTTCTCCCCCAGACCAGCTGATTTCCATCTCAAACGCCAAGTAGACAAGTCAGCTTTCTCTTAATATATTTGTCTCCAAGCTCAAATGCACTTTGATAGGTATATTCTTACACTTCTCTCAGCAGAACAGTCCACCAGACACCAAAAGCCTTTCTGAATAACCCAGCTCCCTGCAGCAGGATCCATCAGGATTTCTTTACGGGAGGCCTCGGCATTTTGCTTCTTGTAAAGAGTGAGAGACAGCTCATGTCCTGGACAAGCTGTGATGAGGGAGAAGCCCACAGCTGGGCAGAGCTCAATGCTGGGTCTGCAGAAAAGCCCCACAGCTGGGGCTCCTAAGCTGCAGCCCTTTATGGACAGGTGCATTTTGAAACAAAGCTTCATCAGCTGCAGGGAGAACACTGTCCAAAGATCTGTGCATACAGTATGGCACAGCATGAACCCCACTAAAAGCTATGCAAAATAATAATATGAAAGCATGAGCACCAATTTTTCTTGTAGAGAAGCAGGGGAAAGGTAGTAAAGGAGGGAAATCAATATCCCATGCAGTCTTAGTATGTTCTTTTTTATTTTCTCTCTATATCCATTTTTTAAATATCTTCTGCTTTTGAACATAGGTTGCTTTCTGCTGCCTCCTCTGAGAGTATCGTATTTTTGCTGAGGCCTCTATTCGGGTTTGTGGCTTCTGAGCATGATTTGTTTCTTAACAGCAGTGTCTGCAGTTCCAGCTGAAGCCAACTTCTGATTATGCATTTTACCAGATAATTTACTCAAGAGAATAAAACCACCATAAATATTGCCTTGGAGGTTCCTCTCATCACCAGAATCACAATTACAGTTAGGTCCTGCATGATGTGGAATAACCATTAGCAAAGGCCTAAGCATAACTGCTGGGTGCTGAAGCTCAGGCAGTGCACATACAGGTACGGATGCTGGATGAGCCTGGTGAAGCTGTGCGGTGGGCATGCCAGGGTTATGTGCTGCTCAGTAGCAGAGCAGCAGACGTGCCATTCCGGGCTGCGTTAGTGGAGGAGGATGTGTCTCACGTATTTTCTGTCTTTTAGAAGCAGACTTCAGAGGGATGCTCCAAAAGTAATGCCTCCTATTTTATTATACTGACCTACAATGTCAAAGGCTGATGTTGGTGGTATGACAGTAGAGATGGAACCTTCCTGCCACTGTTCCACTATGTTTTGTTGCCATGTGACAGATGGCAGCAGAGGGGCAGTCTGACAAGATGGCGTCTGATCTACTACTTGATGTAGTGATTGGCAATCCTGCCTATGGCAGGGGTTGGAACTTGATGATCTTTGAGGTACCTTCCAATCCAACCCTGTCTATGATTCTATATGTTTCCATGATTCTATGATTCTATAGATGTGGAAGTGTTCAGGAGGCAAAGGTGTGTATTCCTCCACATGGAAAAAGTTGCACCCCTTGACATTCACTGACTCTTGGTGAAACTTAATGGAGGCCAAACAAGGGATGTTGGCACACTGAAAGTTGGTCAGTGTGGGCAGCATTCTCCTAGCAACAATGCCATCCTAACAGCTGTGAAAAAACGTGTAGATTTTTATGAGCACAGCATCCAGGCTAAAACACATAGCTAATGGTGGAGACTAAGCTGAAAAATACTGCTTTATAGCTGAGAATTTGCTCTCTTCTATCAAATAGTGTTATGCTCTTTGTATCTTTTGTAGTTTCCATGGAAATAAATAGGAGGTGTTATTTTGGAGTGACCTACGTAAGGCTGCATAGCAGACATGTAACAGAGATATTGTCTGGAATCATGCATTCTCAATGTCTCAAGTTGTGCCAGGGAGGTTTAAGTTGGATATTAGGAAGAATTCCTTTATGGAAAGAGTGCTCAAGAGGTGCTCAAGCATTGGAACAGAGAGTGATGGAATCTCCAACCTAGATGGGATTTCCCTGTGGACATGGCATTAAGAGATATGGTTTACTGATGGGACTTTGTAGACCAGGTTAATGGTTGGACTTTATGATCCTGAAGGTCTTTTTCAGCATGAATGATTCTATAACATACAGGGAATCTTCTGAAAAGAATGGGAGAGGTAAACAGTAATGACTGTGGGTTTGAGAAGGCTGGCTTGAGGAAAAGAGCATGGGATGGAAGGAAATGCAGTGGCAGTAATGAAAAGAAATGCAGTTGCAGAATGCTTCAGCCTGATACCAGTGACATTTTTCATAATCTGCTGTCTCAAAGGAATTTCATATTAGGTTCCAAGTCATCTGCCTGCCCTGAGCCTGGGCCATAACTGTTCAATGAATAAAGTTTGAGAATCCTATCCCATGCTCTCCCTTTTCTCACTTCTAACTGAACTCTCAAAATCTTGTTCCATGCTCTGCAGTCAGTACTACAGCTCCACGCAGCATCAGTTCCTGGTCTGTACAGAGTAGCTAAGCAGCATCAGTTCCTGGTCTGTACAGAGTAGCTAAGCAGCATCAGTTCCTGGTCTGTACAGAGTAGCTAAAAACTCATTTTTATGCTGAGTTAGCAGAGAGGGGGATGGAGCA